TGTTTGGCCTGGAAGTATTTATAACATTGTCCAGGGAACCCATCGGCTCCAGGTGATTTGTTATTTTTAGGCTTTCCTATAAATRATTTTATTTCCTCCTCAGTAATTGTCCCAACTAAAAAATTTTTTGCCCCATTTTCATTAAGTTTGTTAAGATATTTTTTCTGAAGGATTCGTTTAATTTTTACTGTTTTGTTGGGAATGGACACCATCATTTAATTGTTTGTAGTATTTCGAAGATGTGTTTGCTGTTTCTTTGGGATGGGATTCATTTAGTTCAAATCTTGTCTACATTTTTTTTCACTTCCCAAAGTACAGTGTCATTATTTGTTCATTTATGGACAGTTTCTAGTTTCCTAATCTGTTTTTGTACTTTTTTTTGTTTTTCTTCCATTCTTTTTTAATTTCTGAAGAAAATGAAATTATTTTGCCCCTCAGATATGCTTTTCCTGTGTCCCATAAAATGGAAGGGGAACTCATATTACTATCATTAGTATCTAAAAAGAAATTAAATTAGTCTTTTATATACTGGATCATCTATGGGTTGTTTAAAAGTGATACATTTAATCTCCATAGATTTAAAGGTTTATCTTGGTCTGTATTTAAGGACTTTATCACCAGCCATCCTATGAAAACTAAAGAAAGTGGATTATCTATATTCTGTYATAAATCTTTATGATTTTTAGCAGAATATGTACTCGGAGATAAAAAGGGATGCTGGATAATTGTTATTGGTTCGATCGGAGGAGTTATCCTAAAAATCATGAATGTTTATATTCCAAATGAGAATAATCCAGATTTTTTAAAGAACTAGCCCAAATTTTAGCGGKACATTCTAAAGGAATGATTATACTGGGTGGGGATTTTAAACCACTACATGGACAAATTTCCATTTGAACAAAAATATCTATCAAAATCAATGGTACTGAAAAATCTGCTAGAGGGTTTTGGGTTTCTTTAAGTATGGCATGGAAAAAATCCAAAGGTCAGAGTTTATACACATTTCACAAAAGTTCATAAAAGTCACTGTAGAATAGACTTTAGTGTTTCCAAACAAGTGGTCCACAGAGAAGTGGAACATCATATCGAACCGTTGACTTTTGAAAACCTGTCCCACCCACTCTCTTTAATTTAGCTATGTTATGTTCTTCCTCATTCAAATGAGCTTCTTGTTGAAGCCCAGTTCTACAGTTTAACCTTTTTAATTGAGTTAGACTTATTTTCCTCTTAATAGCATGATTTACACCATTAATGTTGGAACTTACCTTCAAAAGTATATTGATACATTTACAAACATGTTGAACATTCAAAATCAGCTCGCCAAGAGACAATGAACATAAAGAAGAAGAAACCAAGCTGGCATCTTTAAAGAGCCTCCAGTTATACCATGTGCTGCCCTCTTGGCAGAAGCAGACAGTGCATTCCTGTTGGGAAGTGGATGGAGAGCGGTCTCCCTAGCTGAGGTACACAGAGTGTGTAGGCAGCAGTCCACAAAGTCTCCAGCTTTGTGCCCAGTTAAAGAGAAAACACCCACCTCCGTACACGCAGACCAATGTTTTTGAATTATTAATGTAATAAAACCTGCATGTCCTTAGAATTTATTTTTAAACATTCCACCACTGGTTGAAGTGGCTGCTGACCTGTGGGTAGGACTCAGGACGTAGTCCACACTCAGTCTTCCTCATGTTGATCCACAGAGCTTATAATGGCCCAGATTTCCATGTTGTTCAGWCTCTGATCAACCTTTTGGGTCTGTCATCCATCATATAGTGAGGTCCTGTTCGTCCACCTCTAYGGGGGTCCCCAGCTCCCTCACAGTGGACTGGGCCTCTGTTAGAGAGGGGGAAGGTTTGATACCCTAGTCCAGGAAGAATCTGAGTTGAGCCAGGAGTGGTGATAGTGCCTTGATGTTTTACTCCTTCAGTTTTTTAATCACTTCACGTTAGGGTTGGGCATAATCGTATCGTCTGCAATTAATCGTCAAAAAAACATTAATCGATTATTTTTTGGTACTTGACGATTAATACGATTAATGCCACCGGACAGAGTGACCTGAGATTTCCCCGGTCAGTCCGCTCGGTGCTCCTCTCCGCTTCAAATATGACGAATATTTAAACAAAAGTTCTGTAATTTATTTATCAACACAATTTAAGTTTTGATGTACAGCCTGAAGTCTGTGATTTTGACACAGTTTGAAAAAGATTTTTACGAAGAGCGAATCCTTCCCACTAAATTGGTCATGTGACCAGGACACAAGGGTGTCCAGGGACTCAAGGGGATTAATCGTCAAATTAATCATTATCGTCTAAATACCATAATTAATCGTGATTAATTTTTTTGCCAATATCGCCCAACCCTACTTCACGTACTTGTTTTTGTTTTCTTTGCACCTTGGGAGAGAAGTCCTCATCAAGGTAAATTTTGTTCTCTCAGAACTCCACGCCTGCGGTAGCACCATTTGTTTAACGTTGAAATCCAAACAGAGAACTATTATGGATCTCGGTGGTGATGGTGGTTTCAGCTTTAGAGTTGTATCTCTGTGAGCTCTCTCAGTGTGTATGTCCATGCCTTCTGGTAGTTTGAGTGCAGATTTTAAAAAGTCAGTAATGAACTTGATCATCTCTTTTCCTTCTGAATCGTCTCTTATTTTGTATAATCTTATATTGTTCCTGCGCATTCTGTTTTCTAGGTCTTGTTTAGCAGATAACTTGGCATCTTTTTTATTTAGATAAGCTAATGCTCTTTCTTGCCGTATGCCTCTGTCTCCAGTGTTATTCAGTCTCTCTTCCACAGTGTTTATTCTTTCTTCCAGTGTGTCGATTCTTTTCTTTATTTCTCCATTTGAAGCCTCCATCCATGTTTGAGACTCCATGATGTCTTGTTGTGAGTTTCCAGATTCTTCTAGAAACGTACAGAGCTCTGTTAGCATTAGCATTTCACTCCCAGTGTCATTCTGAGCTAAGCTAGCATCTAGCGTTAGCTGCTTTTCATCTTCGTATTGTCGTATTCGGTTCTTCTCTGTCTTTTGTGAGGATGTTATTATGATAATGTCTTCTAGATATATAAGTGGGTTTATATTTTTGCAGCAGGCAATTAAAATATATTATGGTCAGAGCGCACTCTGCAAGTGTCTCTTCTCAGGCATACCAGAAGCAAAAGTTGGGGTTTTAGTTTTAAACATACCTTGGAATTAGAGCCACTGTTCAGAATGTAGGGTCATTGTTTGGTATGTAAATCCATCTGAGGGTCATGRTTTGGTACATCTCTCAGATTTAGGGTCACAACTTGGTTTAAACCTCATTCAAAGGGTCGCTGTTGGATACATGCCTTGGTTTTATTTTCCCTGTTTGTTGTGGATTTCACTTTTAGAGTCACTATTCAGAATGTATGTTTGGTATGTAAATTTGTTATGGGTCATGGTTTGATACATATCTTGGTTTTAGGGTCTGTTTGGTTTGTGAATCAATTTTAGGGGCCATGGTTCAGTATATACCTCAGTTTCAGGGTCATGAATTCTTTCTTACCTTGGTTATAGGGTCCCTGTTTGTTGCAAACCTCCGTTTTATGATCACGGTTCAAAATGGTGGGTCATTGTTGGTATGTAAATCCATCTTGAGGGTCATAGTTTGGTACAACCCTTGGGTTTCGGGTCACAATTAGGTATTTTCCTGTTTTAGGGTCTTGGTTTCTTTCTTATCTTGGTTTTAGGGTCCCAGTTTGTTATGGACCTCACTTTTAGAGTCACAGTTAAGAATGTAATAATAATAATAAAAGAATGTAAGTTTGGTATGTAAATCTATCATATGGGTCGTGGTTTGATACATCTCCTGGTTTTAGGGTCTGTTTGGTTTGTGAATCAGTTTTAGGTGCCATGGTTCAGTATTTACTTCAGTTGCAGGGTCATGGAWTCTTTCTTACCTTAGTTATAGAGTCCCTGTTTGTTGTGGACCTTAGTTTTAAGGTCACGGTTCAAAATGGTGGGTCATTGTTTGGTATGTATATCTGTATTAGAGGTCATTGCTTGGTACATCCCTTGGTTTTAGGGTCACTGATGGTGGTTATGTCTCTGCAAAGACCYTACATCTCCCAGGATTTAAAAGTTCTGGTACTGATGTCTTGGTACTAGACTGAGCTCCAGTAGAACTTAGTTAAAGCCATGTTTGCTGAGCAAAGAAAAAGAATGTAAATAGATGATTTTAATGAACACAGACAGACTTTAAGTCCACGGTCYCTTTGATTAGAAATGTGTGTGCTGAGAAAAAAAAACTCCACTGGTGGTCAGAAGTTCTGAGACGGGTCAAACGAAGCGAGTCCTCAGAACTGTATATATAGAACTGAACCAGATCTTTTCATGTGTCTCATTAGATAGATGGGTGGAAACACAGTTCTGAGCTCACAGGGAGCTTTGTTTAATCATTTCCTTCACTTTCTTTGAATCACCGACTTCGAGGCTGTTGCCCCAACAGATGGCTGCGAAGAAAAACTTCACGTTTTCTTTTWAAAAAACACAGATTTATGGAAAACATTTAGCTGCAAGACATGGCAAGGTGGARTGAAAAAAGTAATCATCTCCAGCGCCTCTCTAAGCCTCTTTGCTGAGTTAGAATTGTCTTCCTGCAGAGCCATTTACCATACAGTGGCTCGCCCAGGAAACTGGTGGCTGATAAGAACAGTAACCCTGCATGTACAGCACAATTAACTCTGCTCTGGAGATGTTGTTTTAAATGAAAACAATCTGGAACAGGTTCTACACATTGTGTGTTGTTTATTAAAGGTTCCTTTAGTGTTCTGCCTCCTCCACAGCTCACACAGGAAACTTAGATGTGCTGTGCAATTTTACTCCATTCTAGAAATTGTTTTTTTAAATAAAAATTGTTTGAATCTGTTTCTATAGATTTTATAGAGCTTATTGAGGGTTCCTTTAGCATTCTGGTGTAACCAGACAACTCTTTGACAGTAAAAATCACATCATTTTCTGATCCACTTGTTTCTCTTTTAAGGTTCCTGCTGATAGACCCGGACTCTACACTGGCCCGGTCTTCACTGCTGCTTCGACTGGACCTTTTTTCTCCACGTGAACTCATAAAACAGAACCATAGGAACCAGTGCTGCTTCGACTGGACCTCTTTTCTCTACATGAACTCATAAAACAGAACCATAGGAACCACTGCTGCTTCGACTGGACCTTTTTTCTCTACATGAACTCATAAAACAGAACCATAGGAACCACTGCTTCTTCGACTGGACCTCTTTTCTCCATGTGAACTCATAAAACAGAACCATAGAAACCACTGCTGCTTCGACTGGACCTCTTTTCTCCATGTGAACTCATAAAACAGAACCATAGGAACCACTGCTGCTTCGACTGGACCTTTTTTCTCCACGTGAACTCATAAAACAGAACCATAGGAACCATTGGCAGCACCAGAGTTTTCCTCTCTCAGCCGTTTTTTACCATCCTGATAAGACGATTAATAAAACATTTCTGTACGGGAGGATAGATGTATGTAATGTAAATATGTATGATGTGTTTGTGTCGTAGTAGTTTGTGTTATTAATTAATGTAAATCTAAAAAATGTAATTTCCTTTGGTCAAACTGAAGCAGAGCTCAGTTTGTTGTATTAAAAAAAAGCTGTAAATGTCGGCGCGTTTCCTGTTTTAGTCATAGATTTCAGATTAAGTGTTTCAGCTTATAGACTTCTAAAATATTCAAACTGGAATAAAGATTATATTTATGTAAAGTAGTAGAGAGTCGTGTTGTGTTTTTGTTCCTTTGGGATCTGGTATCAGATCCAGTTTTAGAAGAATTACAGAGTCTCTCTGCAGTCAGCACATGACGTCACACCRATGCTCTTTGGTTGAGAAAACCAACAAACTGAACAGTCATGTTAGYTAAGTGTTCCTTCACACTGCTGTGTAGTTTTAAACATTGTTTTATAACCTGAAAAACTGTCAGTCATTTCTTAGTCAATAGCCTAGGCTAAATGAAGTTTTTTTTTTTTACCTCATGGCTGATGAGGTCTTAGTTACTGATGTGGATTCTGTCATCCAGGACGTGGCTTGTTTGGTTCTTTGTTTTGGTCATATGGATGAAGATGTGAACTATTTGGCCGGACCTGCTGAAAGTTTGTCTGATGAGCTACTTGAACTGTTTCAGTCATGCTGGTCTGAGTTTTCTAGTATTTTGATACATTTAGTTTTCTCTTAGCCTTTGGCTACATCTACCACAAAACTAGCATTTTGCTACAATAATGTAGGGGTGACCTTGAGTGAAGAAACAAGATTTTCTGCCTCGAAGCAGGCCTCGGACAGGTCTGACGAGAGGACAGGAACTCTGTCACAAACTGAACTGTATTTAGGCCATGACAGGTCATTGTAACTGTGGAACAGAACTCCTCAGTTCTCTTAATCAGATAAWGGACAGAACAATCTCTTCTGTTCGTGGTTCATTTGTTGTTTAACTAAGAATGTTTATGCATTTGTTAAATCATGATGATGACTGTCACAGGAAAAGTGGAACCACTTCTTTCGTTTTATCGTGCCTAAAAGATTAATAATGGTATAAAAAAATCACAGAGAATCTCATTACAATGTTTTCAGTGTGTTTGTATGTAAATCACTGTTTTTATTTTACTGTGAACACAGTAATATAATTGTGGATTTTTCTTGAGAAAACCTTTCATTTATMTGGACTAACAGAAGGTTCAGACAGATTATAAGACAGAAATGTTAATTAATCATCATAAATGTTTTGCAGGGATTTCTCTTAGAGTCTATCAGAAGAAAGGTTATCATCCGGTCCCTTCTTTCAAAATAAAATCTCCCCTCGGGAGGTAAAAACACACTTGGAGGCTTGAAGCCTCTGGGTGGGACAGCCAGCTGGCGTGCGGGGCCCCGGCCGTTAAGTCTTCCCTAGTTAGCTCATGGGAAAGACCTAACAAGCCAAACTGGTTTCTCCGGAGAGAAACTCAGCTGWCWTCCTAGTTCGGAGTYAGGAAGAAGAGTGTGTCCGTTCCTCAAAGCCGCCCGGGTTAGTAAAAGAAACGGACGAACTTTGGTTCCGCCCTCAGCTTAGAGATGAGTCAGAGAAAGAAAGATAAAGATTTGCCAGCGGCGCCAGCCCAAGGTTAAAATTCTATGGCTGTTCACAACAGGATGATGAMCTTTCTTCTGATAGACTCTAAGAGAAATCACTGCAAAACATTTATGATGATTAATTAACATTTATGTCTTACAATCAGTTCTGAACCTTCTCCAGTCCAGATAAATGAAAGGTTTTCTCAAGAAAAATCCACAATTATATTACTGTGTTCACAGTAAAATAAAAACAGTGATTTACATAAAAGCACAATGAAAATATTGTAATGATTTTCTCTGTGATTTTTTATACCATTATTAATCTTTAAGGCACGATAAAAGAAAAGAAGTGGTTCCACTTTTCTTGTGACAATCATTATCATGATTTAACATAATGCATAAACATTCATAGTTAAACAACAAACGAATCACGAACAGAAGAGATTGTTCTGTCCATTATCTGATTAAGAGAACTGAGGGGTTCTCTTCCACGGTTAGAATGACCTGTCATGGCCTAAATACAGTTCAGTTTGTGACAGAGTTCCTGTCCTCTCGTCAGGCCTGTTCGAGGCCTGCTTAGAGGCAGTAAATCTTGTTTCTTCACTCGAGGTGACCCCTACAATAGTGAGCTATTTTTTCCACTTTTAGCTACTGTTGTAGCTAGCCACCTGCTGTTCTTAACTAATGTTTTAGGTTTTTGATACTTTTAGTTTTCAAATAGCCTTTTGCTAAATTAGAGTTTTGCCATCATTTAGCTGCTTTTGGATAGCTTGCTACATTTAATTAGCCCTTTGCTACAAGCTGTTAGCTGGCATTTAGATACTTTTAGATAGCTTTTTTTTACTACTTTTGGCTACTCTTTTACTCAATTCTGCTAGCTGTTTACAATTTTTAATTTTAAGTGAGTCTTTTGCGAGATTTTGGCCAGTATACATATACGTATATATATATATATATATAAGCATGTACCTAAAAGTACATAAGATATAAAAACACTTCTGTGTCCGTTTGAGTGATGTTCGC